TCATCAAACATTGTCGCCCGTAGCTCTAATGTCGTTCTTTCATGAAATACGTCAATGCGGCTTTGCTGGTTGTCCTTTTTTATTTTTATTTTTGAATTCTTTATAGCTTCTGCATGGCAGCCTATAGGATGCATTAGAATCGGAAAATATGCCCGGGAGACGATAATACTTACAACGTCAGTAGACTGCACGTAGTCCTCGAAGCCCTGGATCTCCTCCTCGAGATCACCAATTGAAATCTTCTCATCCTCAACAACCAAGGTGATCTGTAGCTTCTTGATACCGAAGCCGACGGGTACCAGCTTCGAAGCACCCCAGACTAGACCATCTTTCTCAATACCTCGGACAGCGGCCTCGAGAGCGGCCATATCAGTCTCATCATCTGAGCACACGAGGTTAGTAATTTGTCCCCTTCCACGGTGTGTACAAAATGCAAGAAACTTACCCCATGGCTTGACTTCTAGAGTGACAACAGACTTGGCAGCTACCTTAGGCTTGGCGGCCTTCTTCTCCCTGTAAGCGGCTAGACGCTCCTCACGGACACGAGCGGCTTCGGCATCCTCTTCCTCGTCATCGCTGCCGAATAGGTCGACGTCGTCCTCATCACCGCCCTCTTCAGCGGCCGGCGCCTTGGCAGGGGTCTCAGTGGCCTCAGCCTCGCCAGGGCCGTAGGCAGTGTAGGGCTTGGAGGCATCGCCAGGCAGAGTTGCGAACTCATCCTCGAAAGAGGCGATGTGCTTGTACCATCTAGCGGCGTGGGGGTACTTGGCGACTTCAGGGGCGGACTTGATAGCCTTGAAGACGGCAACGTCGGCTTGCGAGGGAGCATGTCTTATACTCAGGTTAGTAACGGATGATGGCAGGTTGTCAATGCTGGAACCAAGAGACACGCAAAAGGTTGGTTAGAGATCAGAGATGCACAGAGTGCTATAGTGTGTTTCCTCCTTTGACAGGGTCTTAAGCTGCTCAGAAACACGGACCAGTTTTCTCATCATGATGGCGAATAAAAGGGGCAGGCTTTGTTTGAAGAGTGCGCGATCGCGCTTAAAAACAGGAAAGTCACATCAGAAATGGGATTCCCAACACTCACCCAACAATGTACGATCGGGGCGCCAACCAGCCGGTGAGCACTGATTCCCTTGTTAGCTTTCTGAAGCCAACGATGGCGCAATTTGTGGTCGATTGCCGGGCAAAAACCAGAACCCGGTATCCAGCTCGCGCTGTAAACCGAGCCAGCTTGTAACGAAGAAGGATGCGCTCTCGACTTACGGGTCAGGCCGGTGTCAGTGGTGAGATCGGTGAAACCCATTTTGACGTAGTGTGTGTTTTGGGAGAAAGAAGAAGAGGAATTTAGCGTAGGCGAAGAGAAGGGAAGGGAAGGAATGAGGGTATCTTGAAAAGCGGACGAGGAAGAAGGGAAGCGTGTGAAAAATGAAAAGGAAAAAAAGGAAGGGTAGGTGGGGTAGGTTGGGAGAAGAGGAGGTGCAATCTGTATTTTCGATTTTTTTTTTTTCAGTGGTGACATTAGGCCAGTAATTGCCAGGAGCAGAGCCAGGTGGGTTCTGTGGTTGGCACGGTGCGCTTGTGGATCAGGCGTGCTTAGCTGCTAATTCGAAGTTTACTAACTGGTGCTTCGACTCCGCGACTGTTACCTCTTCCGGTTAGCGTAAGATATGAAGCCAGCTAAGTACATGTAAGTATTTACTGATGTACCTATGTACCAAGGTACCTCTTTCATGCTCCCCGCTTCGGCAGGGATGTATTAAGTCTTATCGATATCATAGGGCAGTTAGCAGTAGCTTCAAGAAGTATCTTGGCATTTCCAGAAAGCTCTCGACGGCAAAATGACGACTACCTAACGAATAATGATTGTTCGGACTATTTAAATGCTGTTTTTCTGCTCTTCCCAGATTTCTACCAGATAATGGTTCTCCCTAATTGTGATTGACCGTAGTTGTCCGTGACTGCCGCAGATATTGCAACGATGCTGGCTAAACGGAACATCATCTCGTCCTCGCGACGATCTTTATTAACAGCAACAAGAAGAATCGGACGCTCCGACACAACCCTCTCGACATACGCTAGGGCCACGCTCCTCGCCTCCAGGCCTCCCACTTCTCGTGTATCGCTGCCTATTCGGGCCTATTCCAATGGCCGACCTCATCCGCCCGGCGGCACTCATCGCATGGATCTCGGAGGAGAGCCAGAGAAGCCAGCGCTTGAGCAGTATGGCGTCGATCTCACAGCCAAGGCAAGAGACGGGAAGCTGGACCCTGTGATTGGGAGAGACGATGAGATACAGCGGACTATACAGGTGCTCTCTCGGCGGACCAAAAATAACCCAGTCCTGATTGGGAATGCAGGTACGGGCAAGACGGCGGTGTTGGAAGGCCTGGCATTGCGCATAGTGCGCGGTGACGTTCCAGAGAGCATCAAAAAGAAGAGAGTCATATCTTTGGATCTGGGTTCCCTGATTGCCGGTGCTAAATTCCGAGGCGACTTTGAAGAGCGGCTGAAGAAGGTCTTGACTGAGGTTGAGCAAGCTCAGGGGGAAGTCGTCTTATTCATTGACGAGTTGCACATCCTGCTTGGCCTCGGAAAGGCTGAAGGGTCTATCGATGCCTCCAACCTGCTGAAGCCTGCGCTGTCCAGAGGTGAACTTCAGTGCTGTGGCGCCACAACTCTCGCAGAATACAGGCTCATTGAGAAGGATGTTGCACTCGCTCGACGTTTCCAGCCCATCTTAGTAAACGAGCCCAGTGTATCGGACACCATCAGCATTCTTCGCGGAATCAAAGAGAAATACGAGGTTCATCACGGTGTGAGAATCACAGATGGCGCACTTGTGGCGGCCGCAACCTATTCAAACCGATATATAACCGACCGTTTTCTTCCCGATAAGGCCATCGATTTAATGGACGAAGCGGCTAGCTCCTTGCGCTTACAACAAGAAAGTAAACCCGAAGACATAATGCGCCTAGACCAGAAGATCATGACGATTCAGATCGAGCTGGAGAGTTTGCGAAAAGAAAAGGATGTGGCAAGTCGAGAACGTCGGGAAAAGCTGGAATCAGATCTTAAGAAGCTTCAAGAGGAGGAAAAGGCGCTCACTGAAAGATGGGAGAAGGAGAGAGGGCAGATTGAAGCTTTAAAAAAGGTCCAGGGAGATCTCGATAAGGCGCGCATTGAACTCGAACATGCCCAGAGAAGTGGAAATTTTGCTCGTGCCTCCGAACTACGTTTCGGGGTAATTCCAAACCTTGAAAGCCTGCTGCCAAAAGACGGCGAGACGGGTCCAGATGCACAAGGACCAGATACGCTAATTCACGATTCCGTGACTGCCGACGACATCGCGGCCGTGGTCTCAAGAGTCACCGGAATACCCGTGTCAAAGCTCACATCGGGCCATGTCGAAAAGCTTATCCATATGGAGGATACTCTTAGGGAATCGGTGCGCGGGCAAGATGAAGCGTTGAAGGCCGTCGCTGATGCTGTGCGCATGCAACGTGCCGGCCTTAGCGGGGACAATCGCCCATTAGCAACCTTTTTCTTTCTGGGCCCAACCGGCGTGGGTAAAACAGAACTGTGTAAGAAGCTAGCTAGCTTTTTATTCTCGACTGAACAAGCGGTTGTACGGTTCGACATGAGCGAGTTTCAAGAGAAACATACAATTTCACGTCTTATCGGCGCCCCTTCCGGTTATGTTGGGTATGAAGACGCCGGCCAGTTAACAGAGGCGGTGCGACGTAAGCCGTACGCCGTACTTTTATTCGACGAGTTTGAGAAAGCCCATCGAGATATATCGTCCCTGCTTCTGCAGGTCCTTGACGAAGGTTACCTAACAGACAGTCAAGGGCACAAGGTCGATTTTAGGAACACCATCATCGTACTCACATCTAATCTCGGCGCGGATATCTTAGTTGGCAACAACCCTATACATCACTACTCGGAAACCCCAGACGGTGATGTAAGCCCAGACGTGCGAAAAGCAGTCATGGATGTGGTCTCTTCTCATTACGCACCTGAGTTTTTGAACCGCATTGACTCATTCATCATATTCAAACGATTGAAGCTCGACGCCCTACGTGATATCGTTGATATCAGACTTCGCGAATTGCAGCAACGTCTTGATGACCGACGCATAACGATAAATGTCGACGACGAGGCGCGCGTGTGGCTTGCCGAACGTGGGTACGAACCGAGGTTTGGCGCGCGGCCACTCAACCGCCTTATTACGACGGAGATCAGTAATAACCTTGCCGATAAGATTATAAGAGGCGAACTGAGACGCGGCGACACGGCTAATGTCCGAATTAAAGAGGATAAGAGTGGGCTAGAAGTCTTCATAGAGAAGCCTGACTTGGAGGCTGTCTCGAAAGAAGCTTCTGATTCTACTTGATGGTTTCATGAGTCATTTATCTCATGACGATAATGAAAATAGGCAAAGATTGTATATATATAAAAAGCATTAGCGGCGTATTGAAGGGGGAAGTTGTATGACCTGTGTACTAGGGCAAAGACATGTAAACTATCGATGTATGAGTCACTCTGCTCGAGTTCTTTAATAATGTATCATGAGATAACGTTTATAAATATATATACTCCATTAAACAAATCTGTCCTATTCTTGATTGATATAAAAGAGCTAAGATATAAGGTAGTAATATAACATTCGTATAATATAACATCTGAATAAACCCGATGTTTTAGTTTAGATAATTCATGACCTCTCGGAAGTGAAGGAATTGAATTACCATATAGGAAAGACTGTGATTGATGCGATCGAGTTTTACCACTGGGGCCAAGAGAACGACAAACTACTGTCAAGATATTTATAAGAAACCCCTAGAGTCATTGAGATCTAGGTATATAAAGAGGTCTTGACTCTATGTCTGGAGATGTAGTACAGACAATCTATCCTGGAGAAAAGCGACTAAGTTTACCGCCTGCTCCCCCCCTCCTTTTGTTTCTATCTTTTTAACAGTCGGATCGACATGCTCGGCCTCGTGGCCCAATGGCAAGGCGTCTGACTACGACTGTCGATGACTGACAGCTGATTCCAGCTGCAGGTCACGATTTCTTATCAGGAGATTCTGGGTTCGACCCCCAGCGAGGTCATCGAAATGTTTTTTGTGCTGAATCTTTTGTTGTATATAAAAGGTGTTTGCGAGTTGCATTCGTTAAGCTCAGTGCAAGACTGCTGGAACAGGGCCAGGTGATACCTAGAGAGTATCAAACATTGAAGTGAACTACTACAACCTCCCAATTAGCTAGAGCTCAGCTGATTCCTTTTGCCGCGTAACGCAATACGCCTGCAAACAAGTAAGAAGAGAACCAACTATTCACCCTAATACAACGAATGTGGTTATGAGGCCACTCAATAAGCGCCGTAGTATGAGGAGAAAGAGCCTTGAGGGGGGAATGGTCGAGTTGAACTTTTTTCTTGTCGGAAGCGACATTGATTCGACAAGGGGGACAGTTCTACTCATCATTTGCGTTGGTATTCGTCTACCCGACTTCACGAAAAAAGGACAAGAAAGCTACATACGTCGCGCGATGGGAATAACGCGCGAAAATACGTCTGAATGATATAGTATATTTGCCTTGTATATTAGAACCTAGTATGAATGTCAACATCGGCTCGAAGTGTGTCAGCTTCGATATCCCGTAGTACGAAGACTAGCTATTCCGAAGATCCTACATGCCCGTCATCCTCAACTTTGACCTGCGTACCATCGATAGGACGTTTGCCGCGCACAGGCACAGGCTTCGCTAGCACCACGGTTTCAATGCCAGCGGGACTCAGTTCCTCAGGGCCCATAGGCAGCGCGTCAACGTCGACCTCCATGTTCATCAAAGTTTTAAGAATGACCGAGCTTCCCGCTTTGCTCATGACCTCGTTCGCTTCTTTACAGAGTTCTGAGCAAACGCATTCAGGGCACCCTGATTCGCAGTGGCAGTGCTGAACGCGCTCAAGAGCCTGGACGAGGAGCATGTGAATGAATTCAAATGCCTTGGTGCTGATGCCCGATCCATTGGCGCCCCCTTTCGCGTCGTAAAATGTTAGACGAGCCGGTCGCTTCCTCGAGGTTTCCCTCTGCGCAAATTCTTTTAAGCCTACCTTGCATTCTGTTCGTACGTCCCCTGGCATACTGATAACAAAATTTGGCATGAGACTCATGATGGCATGTTCTGCCGCGTGTATGGCTCCCGCTACATGTAGACGTCGCTCAACCAGAATCTCGAGGGCTTTCTTAGGAACGTCTAGCCACATGCCCTTACTGTGTCGAATGATCGGAGGATTATCGACCTGGACAGCATCAAGGATTCGGCGGCGCTTGTCTACCTTAAAGTACCCGAAAACGTTCTGCGTGATGCGGATAGAGCCGTGATATGCTCGCGACAAAGATCCTGGAATCCTGCGGACGGCCTCGCACTCTACTGGATCGATATCGGTGAAGTCTCTCTGCTGTGTAGTCCATTCAACCTTAACTTTTTCTACCTTTGCTATCATGCGATCAGGCTGAAAATCGCGAACAAGGTAAGAATTACCTTGGTGCAAAAAAATGGCACCGTCGTACAAGGTGAAGAAAGCCCTTGACGCCTCAAGCTCTTCCAAGACATTATTCTGCCCATGGGAAATGTCGACGATGGCAAAGTGATCATCTTCAGTGTCTCGAATGGCCACAAATTTTGCCGGCATCGGTCGAAAACTGTCATGGCAGTGATAGTAGCCTAGCTCATCTCTGATTAGGCGTTCCTCGGAAATTTTCGCAAGGTCTGGTGTGAAGTAATGTGCATCTTCACCCGGCCTGATCGGCATCTCGAAAGCTCCACATTGTATGTGGCCTTCAAGTACAAGCATGTTATTGAGATCGACCTGCAGCTCGCAGTTGGGCTTGGTAAAAAGTTCGTCAGGGTTCTGCATGTAATGTTGATCCGAAGGAAAGCAATCGCCCACAAGAACAGAGAGAGAATCTTTATTCCTCCTACCCGCCCTACCGCTCTGTTGTCGTAAATTTGCTATAGTATAAGGAAATCCGAGAGTGATAACACAGTCTAGAGTGCCTATGTCAACGCCTAGTTCAAGTGCTGTAGTGGCAATAATGCCCATCAGCTTCCCTTCAAACATTTCGCTCTCTATTCTGCGACGATCCTGTGGCGTATACCCACCACGATATCCCATGACGCGACCTGCGCATTCCGAACGGCCGAGCAATTCAAGCTCGGATCTTGTGGCTGTTACCAGCTCTTCACACTGTTTCCTGACACGACAGAAGGCTATCACCCGGACGCCCCTCAGAATCAATTGACAGAACAGGCGAGCGCACTCCGCAAGAGCACTCCCACGACCGCTTGAAGGATCGCCAGGGTCTTTAAAAGGTGTATTCCAGCAAAGGAACTCTTTTCGGCCAGATGGCGACCCATCAAAATCGATAAGGTGCACGTCCTTGATTCCGAAAATAGTCTTAAAATGCTCTTCTGGATTCGCCACGGTGGCAGAGCATGATATAAACCTAACTTTTCGATTACCGACTGCCGCACAAATTCGACGAAGCCTCCTCATAATAAAGGCAACATGAGAACCCATCAAACCGTTGTAATAGTGTAATTCATCGACTTCGGGATTATCAGCCACATTATCTATAGTCCATAAAAAAGGAACTCACCGACTACGTAGCGTAAATTTTTGAGAAATGTTCTCCATCGATCTTCCTGGGGCAAAATAGTAATGTGTAGCATATCTGGGTTCGTGAAAATGATTCGAGCTTCATCTCGGATCTGATTCCGCTCGCGCATAGGTGTATCGCCATCGAATGTTTCCACAAGCACATCCCCCAAGCCGGTCAAGTACCCGAGCATGTCCTTCAAGCTCCTTTTCTGATCCTGAGCTAGGGCTTTGGTAGGAAATATATACATGGCACGAGTGTCGAGGTCTTGCTCTAATGCGTGCAGAACTGGAAGTTGATATATTAATGACTTTCCAGAACTTGTCGACGTGGAAACGACAACATTGTGTCCAGCCTGAAGACTATTAATGGCTTCAGCTTGATGAGCATAAAACTGAACAATGCCTTTTGCATTATAGAGAGCATTAACCATATCCTGACTCAGCAAGAAATCAAGGTCACCAAAAACGGCTTCCTGAGCATCAAAGACTCGATGGCCATCAGGTACGATTTGCCCTGTATACCACGGGCTATCCTTAAGTTCCTGTATAATCTCAGGGATGCTCTTCCTCTCTTTCGGGATGGATTTTGGAATGGTACTTGGTTCCGGTTTTGGCGTGACAGATTCAGGTTCGGATAGAGCAGGAATGTAGGCCTCGGCCTCCTGACGTAGCATAACTACTGGGTCTAATTTCTCCTCAACACAGCGGTTGATGAAGGCATTGATAGAATTCGAGAATTTCTGATTACGCTTCTCGATTAAAGCTGTCATTTGCTTTTGACTGTACACAGGCATCTTCAGGTCTTCGTCTGGAAGGCGTCTGGATGGGTTCACGTATTCGCCAGACTTCCGATTCTGAACTTGCCGCTTCAGATCACCGTCAACGAATTCAAAGAATAGCACTTGGTGCCCACTTGGCGGTAAGGTGTCTGGGTGTTGGCGTCCGAGGTCATCCATACCGGTCAAACCACCGACTGACGCATCCGGAGCAGGGCCAGGGACGGTGATATGTTTTGAATGGCTGGACTTGAAAGTCATGTCTCGTTCAGCGCCTTTTATATCAGTCTGCAGCATGACTTCGTCTACGTAGCCAAAGTAGATGCCCTCGGGTCGCAGTGCGACGACAGCAGCCACGTCTTCGACCTTGAGCTCTCGCTTTGTGTGAGATTCGACGGCCGAGCGAATAGTATCGAACGTGGTAGCAAGGTGCTTTCTGGTGGAACAGAAAGTGAAGACCAGGTTCAGGGCCCGGTGAGTCTTTTCCAGTTCTGTAAATTGGGGAGGCCAGTCGATCAGACATTGGACAGGCTGTACCCGGGCCGCAGTCTTCTTCGCCTGTCGACTCGGTGTGGTGTTTCTTTCACCGCGCTGCTTTGGACACTCATCTGCGCCAGTATCGCCATCATCTGTTTCGAGATTGGTGGCATCCGTGAGGCCAGCATGGCCTGCTTGAGCAGCGCTGGCTCCGGGTTGGCCCTGCTCTTCTACATCGTGGTCTATGCGCTTCCTCTTCCGCTTAATGATTTTATTGGAGACTGTGGCAGCCTTAAGAGAAGACATTTCACGAGATGCATTTGGTGAGGTGGCCGGCACAAAAGCCGCTGTTGCAGTATCAAAGTACCTACCGGGTCGCGGGTTACAGACTATTACAGGTACCTAGAAAATGGCACGGTTCGCGTGCATTCAATGTGGCGCGAAGCCACGTGACGTCACGTCCCCTGCATGCTATTCCGCTGTTTGGGGTTACTGTGGGAAGGTACGAAGGACAGTGCCTAGATATTACCCCTCACAGTGGGTTCCATGTCAACTATCTCCATCTCTTGAACAACATCAATATCCACATTGCTACACATCAGTTACACATCATCATATCAACTTTTTAGTGTGCTTTTCCTTTTTGCATCCACCAGACGGTATCACCTGGTTTTATCTGCTCTACAGATTCTCATTCATCATGTACAGTTTGTGACACTGTACTTTGAAGTGATTGACATTTTTATGTGTGTACTACCGAACCTCCAATGCCCCAGCGTTACACTCGAACATGGGCAATGCTACATGTCGCGAAAACAAAAACCGGGCGGGTCAAGACAACGTTCGATCTCTCGAGAGATATGTAGTACTGCACTTGACACGTGCAAAAGCACCATCATATTTTAAATATGCTTATCAAGGTATTTCCATCGCCAAGCAGACCAATACACGCCCAGCCCCGGTCATCGAGATTACCTTTCTTGTGATCTCCTTCTATTGGTTGTGCTCTCTCCCTTTGCCACCGAAGCCGGAACTGAAATATGGGCAAATATCTATGCATCCACGCTATGTGCATTTCATGATATTCCTTCTTTCCCAGTGTATGACAGTAGCAGGCCTATCATCATCATCGTCATCTTTTTCATCATCGGATATTGCCGAGTTCCTTGAGCCGCACCTGGAAATGCATTCAT